CATTACATTTAGCAGGTCACAGAAATTGATTTACTGCCTAAGGAATGTTTTTTTTTTCCTGCTGGGCTTCGGCTGTGTGGTGGCATTCCGCTCACATAATCAAGGATGAGCTGTCTACCCAATCTACTACTTGGTCCCACAGGGACAGATGACTTGCAACAGGAAAACCTGCATGAATACTAATTTACCTACTTGGCTTTAACAGCTTTTGCAAGCCAATCTCATAGGAATTTGTAGAATATGATGCCTTTCCATCTTTCCATATTAATTACCCCAACTGAAAATAGGGACAGCAAGAGATGGGGACTGCGGAAGATAGTGTGAGGGAGCGAAAGAGAGAGAGAGAGAGACAGAATCATGGGAATAGCTCTAAGCAGGGACTCTCTGCTCTCCATCCTAAATGTGGTTAATTATAATGTGATTTGAAGCATCTTGAGCAGGAATCTGGCAATCTAGATTTGGAGCTCTCTGACCACAGCTCCAGTTTGGGTCTCTTCATTATGGCTCAACATAGCCAGTGCCTCTCTTAGCCTCATAAATGTACGAGGAGCAAAAGAAAAAAACTGGGGCACATTGGTTGTGTTTACTCCAGGCAGGTTTGGAGCAGATTATTCTGATTCCTGAACTCCTACTCCTCTAGTTCATTTCAATCAGTCAGGGAGGGCGTGAGTTAATCCAACAATACTTACATAAGGATATTTTCGAATCCAGTTATCTAATTATTAAATGTTGTGTTTTGAGGCCACACAATGTGTAGCATTCACAGACAAATGATGAAATTGCAGCACAACATGGAATTTGCTTTGTCACATATGAGGTCAATGTTATATTCCTAAACACTAAGGAAGAGCTGGTATCTTTACAGTTTACTGCTTTAAAAATAGTCTTTGGAAGAACAAGATGGACAAACCAGTGTAAGGACTATCAGGAAGTATGTAGTGCCATAGCTGTCATATACACACACACATACACATATACACATATATATATACATATACATATATATATACATATATATGTATATGGACCTCCTCAATTTGACATTTTAAATGCTTCAATTTGGCAACAATACTTAAAGCAATAAAATCAACTTGTGTAATGATGAAGATGACACCAAACTGCACCCTGCTCTATCAAGAAATGACAAAAGTTCCATGGATTTTTTTCAATAGGAGAATTAAAAACAATGATTGGATATGTGTGAACTTGATCTTAATGCAGATATTCAGAAAACACCTGAATTACTGTATTTGGCACAAAAGTAGGGTCAAAGAAAGCTGGCACTCATCTTTCCTTTTGAAAAACAAAACCACTATCATCTTAAAAACATAGAAATAATCATGAAACAATTCCATGCTCCTATAAAAACACCAAGTAAAATGAAGGCTTCTTTGACTGTCCTTAACCATATGCCCTATCTGCCTCTCTAGTCAACAGGTAAAGGGCTACTAACTTTTCAAAGAGTGCAAACACACTGAGAAGAACAATTACATTTCATTTTCATTTGTCCCGCTCATGGTACGCAAAACCCAATGTACAATAATTGCAAACAAAACATGTCTCTACAAACACACCATTGAGTGAAAAGGAGCAGGGAGAAGAAAATAATCTTATATGACCTTTCTAAAAAACAAACAAAATACATAGAAATAGATGGTCTGCCCTTCATAATAATTGTTTTTGTTCACTGCCAAACATAACAGTATCTTAGGATACTAAGAGAAACACAAAAAATACTTATTTTCTACTTGACGGTTAACGGAAAGAAACAAAACAACAACAAAAAACAACAACACCAAAACATCACATGTATAAGGAAAAGGAAAATCACTGTGAACCATAGGGCTGGGCAACCTTTACATCCAGGTAAAACATCTCAACATGTGCATTAGCCTAAATCCTTAATAATTAGCTTATGACACAACGATGGGGAAAAACAAACAGATATGAGCATCGGATAATCAAGACACCTGACCGAATTGCATGATGAACCTTGTGTATGTTTACTAGCTAAACGTTTGACTTGTTTGAATTTCAAAATAGGCGGTCTTGCTTATATTACATAAGCTGCTTGCAGTTTATTTGAATTGCATACAGAAGCAGAATGTGTTGGTAAATGGAGCAGTGCGGTTCTGCTATATGACGGCTTAGAATGATGCTGCTCATGATTTGCATTTCAGTTTGTGTGTGAATGTGTGTGGGGGTTGGGCAATGCATTTTATTAACCCTTAGATGCACGAGTGACTGGACCCTACCGTTTTGAACATATTGATGGAAAGATCTCCGCTATTCTGAGACCCTCACAGTATTCCAGTCCCTTTTCAAAGCTCATCTCTTCTCCTCTTGTCTACTCATAGCCCACTCTCCATCAATCCATGCCGGTTGATCAAGTTTGATAGTCCTATACCGCCCACCCTAACCTTCCCTTATATTGAAAAGCGATTTTGAGTCCTTGAAAAGCCCTATACAAATATAATGTATTATTATTATACTGACAGGTATCAGATCTTGCTGTGTAAAATAATCTTCCTGAGAGGTGTCACTTGTGATGTAGTCTGTGTGGTCTACAGTGAATGTATTCCTGACAGCCACAGGTGATAAGAATCAAAGGTTCCCATAGGATCCCATAGACAATTGTTGACCCACTTATGGAAGCTTGGGGTAGTAATACAAAAACTACAATTTCTTAAAATGTATAACATTTACATTTAAAATTTGAATGGCATGATATCCAAAACATGTTTTTTGAGGAATAGCTGGAATATTAAATGATAAAAAAATGTAATTACAAAGATACTTCAAGAAAACCACCTCACCGGGTCAAAGAAGACCCACTTATGCATCTAAGGGTTAAAGCATTATGTTCAAGATGTATATAATTAAACAGTGTCAACCAAAACAATTAAATATATTAATCAAATATTCTATTCATCCTAGGAGATTTATTTTGGTGTTAAAATACTTATTTTTGTGACATGTTTGTGAAATTACACATTTGAAAAGTGAAAGGTTTTGGATAAACACTCAACGTATTGTGTACTGCCTAAGCACAGAGCTGTAAGATTGCTTCAACACAGATCAAGATGGAGACTGGCATTGAATATATGGCAAAAATATAATGTATTGGAAAGATGAAAGCCAGATGGACATGTAACAGCAATCCATAAAGACACGACATCCAGCGCACCTCTGTGCTTTTATATATACATCCCCTGAAATCCTCCATAAAGCATCACCATAATAAGGGTTTAGGCTTCCATGCTGAACAGATTTTCACTTGGCCCTTTGTGTCAGAGAATCTCACCTGGTCTTTGGAGTGGGGGCAGAGGGGAGAAAACCTTCCTGCCCCGACTGTGGAGAGACAGCCTTCCTCTGTAATCCACTCTCATTCACAGACATCATTCATGTGCAAATCATCCTTGGACCTATTGTTCACCCACTGCGCTTTCAGATACTTGCTGAATCAAGTGATAAATGTAATGGCAGGGCTGGAGATATGTTCCATAATGTGAAAAGCTATAATAAGACGTAAAACAATAAGCACTCTCAACTAGCTAGAACAATAGACAACTTAATCATAATGTTTTGTTAATGCATATATATTTAATTTTAATTGATACAGTGTGCTTTCTCGTAGATGTTTGCTGACAGGAACCAACCATTTTTCATAAGGTGTAAAATGGTTGGTTATTTTATTTTAACATTAGAGATTATTATAACTCACTGAAAGTACAAAAGACAAATGAAAAATTCATTAATTTACTTAAGGACCATTTATTTTAATAAACATCTTGAAAAGTCTCAAAATTGAAGTAATTTTGCAGCTTAAAATCATTTTGAGTTCCTACACATATATCTCTGACACATGTTGCATTGGTGTACTACTAAATCATAAACCATGGGAAACAGCTTGGTTGCGTTAGTGTTAGCTTTTAAACACATAATGATGATGCAATGCTAACTGCCATAGAACAGACGGGAAATATAACCATATCTAATATTAAATAATGAATACAAGAAAAATCTAATCCAAATATATATTTATATACTGTATTAAAGTGGATTGTTTGTATCAGCAAAGTCCTTTTGCATTTTTGTTGTAAAAAACTTCCATAGGCCTTTTTAATAAATGTTAAGTGACAGAAATAACAGTCGGTAAAAACATGGGATTAAAGTTGGCTGAATTCCATTTTGACACTTGTAAATCTGTGTGTTTCCAGAGACTTATGAATCATAGTCATGTTGACACAGATAGTGTGGAGTGACCGTTCATTTTAAATCTTTCAAATGTGTCACAGTTGCATTTTGGGGTCATCATCACAAAGAAGTGTTCAGTACATGAATTTCGAGGGGCAATATATTCTGTGTACGTTCCACACTTACATTTGGGACAAATGATATGGCAAAGCGAAGAGAAAGTATATGGTGCAACACATTTTGGACACAGCCCTCTAATTGAGTACAACAAAGCCATCATTAAGGGATCATCAAAATCTTTACAATTTATCCTCTGTGGACAATGAATGTGTACCATGTCTATCCATCATATAGTTATTTACTCAAGTGTTGCAATAGCAGAACACATTACTAGGATTGTGATTCCTTTCCCACGTCCCTGATACTGTTATTTAGATGTTTACTTGATACAAATAATTTCATGTAGCTATGAATTCAGGTTAGACAACAACCAGATATGGCGTGGCTGATTGCTAAATGTCATGATGTAGCAGTACAGCACAACATATAAAACAAAAGCCTTGAAGACACGGCTCCATTAAGCTTAGCAAACGGAATTAGTTTTGATTTAACAGTCAAGGACGAAATCACGGATCCTCGCCAAAGTAAACATTTTACCAACAACTCTGTTGATCAGTGGAAAAGATTGTTTAACTCTATATAATGGTGCCGGATCTCTTTGAAATCCTCGAGCTTGTGTAATCAAAAGCACAGCCTTTTGTCTCTTTAACACACATACCAAAGAAGCTGCCGAGGAGGCCACATCAGAATGAATGAATATTTAATTGAGGCCTATTGAGGCAGAAGATCAAAATGATCTTGCTCTTAATGATTATTCAGTGATAAAAATAAAAGTAGGGTAGGGGAGAATAGAAGGCGCACACTCAAGAGCCTCGGTTTGTCCGGCAGGCAGGAATACATTACACAAACATATGAGAGCGAAACCACAGCATTGTGGATGAATGTGTTTAACTTTGCCTCTTGCTTTCATCTATGTGTCCCCCACTTACAGATAACATTATATTCTTATTCGTACATAAATCCAAAATGAATAATAGCCATTTTTAAAGCATTTCTATGATTATGTATATGCATGGACTATCATAGAGGGATGAATCCACTTTTCCTGTTACTAGTAAGTAACACAAGTGTCTTTTGAACAAATTAGACACATGTGGGAGACTCCAATGCAAGAACACTGACCCTGTCTTATTGGAAGTTGTCTCGACAAAAAGTAGGTCAATCTGGCTTGTGAGGGAGCAAGACCCTCCTCTAAACTTTCCAGACACTCATGGCAGCAATTGGTGAGGAAAAAAAGGCTGAATTGATGTGGGCCGAACATGAATGGCTTTAAGCTCAGTACTTGATAGCGTGCCAGACTGAAAGGAACAGGCTTCCATACTCACAACACAGTGGTTGTTGCAAGCGCACATTCAAAAGCATATTAATGTTATTATGTGATCCGTGTAACCTTGTCTGGTCTTAAATCTTTGTTTCATCATCTGTTGGATAAATGCACTTTTTATGTACAACACAGAAATGACATTCATAGCTATATTTCTGAAGAACTTGAAGGTCACACCATGTCTTCAATACGCCGTACTCTAGGAGCCGCACTGCTTCTATGAGATTTGATTACAAATAAATGTTAGTGATCTTAGATATGACTATAACATCAGTTTTAGTTGCTTAAAACATGAATGACTGATAAACTGATTTATTGTTTTGATCAATAAAATATCAGCAAATATTAAAAAGAGTCCTTAACAGTTTCATAGAGTGAATAGTGGTATCTAAAAATGGCATGTTTTGTCACAACGGCAGGCCAAAAGCATCAAATATATATCATTAAAGAATTGAAACAACTGAGAAATGACTCATTTAAGAAGCTGGAAACTGTTTACTGCTTTTCTCTTTGTGCGGTTCACTAGTTGATCTGATATATTTGATGATAACTAAACAATATTAGTTATAATATTCTCTGTTGCAGGTTTGTGATGTCAGTAGTGTTGTATCACTACTGAGCGCTGCCTGCTGTGTTGTCAAACAGCCCACGGGTTATTCACATCGCATGTACATTTAAAAAAGCTGCAGTGTCAGACCTTGACCTTTGATAAGGTAGGAAATGGGTGCATAAAGAATGGGTTATAGCATTTAAAGAAAACATGAGATGTATTCATACTCTGCCAGTAGACGTGGTTGTTGTGCTTGTTACTCATTATGGTTGTCAAGTTCTGAACATTTGAGAAAAGGCTGATTTCAAACTTTTAAATATAGCGTTATCCTGTTTTTCTCAACTATTTATGAGATAAAAGTGCATATTTTAGGGCTTTGGACTGACAAAACATCATATTTAAACTCATTTTATAAACAAATAATTGATTCATCTAGAAAATAATTGGCATAATAAGTTTCAATGCCTTTTCTCAGATATTTGAGCTGTTTTAAGCTAAAAAAAAGTGTTCTATTATAAAGATAAATGATCTCCTATTAGTTATTGTAAGGGAGGATAAGTAGTGTTCAAAAATTTGAAGTCGTAGCACTGTCGTAAAAAATACCAATATCACCCATCTCCCTTACTCTTGTGGTGATCTGGACTCACCATGTGTTAAGTCATATAAACATTGATCCCCTTCACAACACCAATGCTGTTAGAACTCATATTGATAACGCTGTACGGATAACGCCCCTTAACTGCAAGATAAACACCTTCCTGACCTCCCTCTACACGCAGAATGACATTAAAGAATTAGCCGAATGTCATCCTCATTGTGTCCCTCATCAGTTCTTTTTTTTTAATATTAGTGTTAGTACACATTAGTACAATATAACTCCGCTTCCACTGTGAGCTATCTGTCGCACACAAGTATCTGTTGACATGCTCCTTAACATGGATATTATGTTAGGGAGCCTTTTAGCAAACTCCAAATTATTCTGCCATGGTCCCTTTTCTGTGGTGGGTCAGGGCCGTCTGAAGCCATTATTGGTAATGAATGTGGAGTCCTACTTTAAAAAGGTTCAGGCATGTAAAGTCACCTGGAGCTGACTAATGGAATCCTGCTGACACTGAATGCCAGGGGGCTTTTACCACATCCCAGAATGGCAGATTTGGAAATGTACACTACAGACATAATGAAGTATAAATGTAAACTTGGGAATGTAGCCTCCCACACAGCAGCTCAGAGTTATTATTAGATACAGAGCGTTGAATGTGCTGCAAAATGCTAAAAGGGAGAAGACTAATGTGTGGTTTCAGCAACGATCCTGCTACTCGAGACTCATGGGCACAACAACTGAGAGGCATTTAGACACATGTGTTTCTGTGGTATTATTATCAAAGAAGCAGCTGTGTAGATTTGAACAGAGCGCTTGCCGGAGGTTCTAAATATTCGGAGTTTGTTAGCAACACTTTGTGCCCTGGGAGATGCGCCTCTTCAGCAGGTTCACAGGTCGCGCAGCAGCGTGCAGAGTGGCCATTGTGCTTTGTCATTTCACAGGTGACTCACATCACTACACTCGAGCATGCTGGAGGTAGAGCACTCGGAGATGCTCGCGGCATTCAAAATGCATGATTTTCAGCCTAGTGCAAACAAATCGCTTTAAAAGATCAGTTTAATCTATTTCGAGCTGTTATTATGAGCCGGGAGAGTTGTTCAGATAAAGAGACTGAAGCAGGGTTAACATCAGAGTGTTGGACAACTCTTCACATACTTTACCCGGCGTGAGAGCTGTCAACTTTATTATTTGTTTTTACAATACAGTGTGCATATGATTTACAATGCAGACCAATAAAAGAACTTGAATTACTGTGAGCCAAACTGCCTGGAATTTTGGAGCGATATAATGTAGTGCATTTCAAAAATATCTACAGGGAATTATCAGTCACTGAAGCTGTCGCTGTCACCGCTGTTTTTGTTGAAAGGTTGAGGACGTAAGGCTGCTTCAATCTCCGAGTTGCTGTCATCCGAACCCCCCCAGAAATCTTCATAAAAAGGGAAAGAAAACAAGCTTATTATAGCAGAATGTTTCACCATCCATGCTTCACATGAGGAGTACATTGTTAACATCATTTCTTTATCCAGTCCTCTGTACACTCTCGCTATAAGCATTCCAGGATTTGAATGCACTGCAGCTAAAGCTTACCTTGAGTTTAATTGAACACGGCATTATACTAAATCGAAAGAAGATAGTCTATTGTGCACTCATGTCAATAAAATGCACCCGGGTGATCTGATAATTGCCGCAAAAATCTAAACACAAATGTGAAGGTAGCACCCAAAATATATTAGGATCCAACTACTTGAGGCCTAATCAGATGTTTGTATTGTTTACCTGATAAGGAATTGATGTTTGTGTCTGTTCAGTCTTTATCAGTAAAGTAAAAGTTGATACGGAAAGTCCCAGTAAGACAGAATTCAAAGTGTCTCAAGCTTTTTTTATTGAAAGGTATTCCAGAGTTTAACAGAAGCACTGTACAGACAAAACAAGGATTACAATCCCTTAAAGCCCATGCGAATGATTGGACTGCTGAAAAGTGGGCGGGCCTCAGAGGACTGTTGGCTTCACTCAGCTTCCTTATTGAAAAAGTTGCAGATTGATTGATGCCAATATTATTGTTTGAAATTAGTTTCAGCTTAAATAAGCACACATTTTCTTTATGGTTTACATGAAGTAAAGATGATTGGATTTTGAATACAAATATTGGAAGACATGTTGTCAAATATATGCACAGAGGTGGAAATAAAAGTTGTTTTTCCTTTTAACTAGACTTAATGTGAGATGTGAAACATGTGACCAATTGCAACCTGCCCCTGTTGAAGCAAAGCACTTTTATATATGATATATTTTTTTTTAATAAAGCAAATATATCATTGCAAAGAAATTAGATTCACCACTTATGTTTTATATAGAGCAGTGTTTAAGGTTTGATCAGTAATATCAGTAGTCCTAAGTATTAGTACAATTTGACTGTTTTTGCAATTTATTATACAACTTAGATAGTGTTTCTGCAATCTAAGAATCTAGGCTTTCAGTAACCTAGATTAAATAAAAGTGAAATGTTATCAAACAGTTGCCCTTCGTCTGAGGCTTAAAATATTTGGGAATGTCATGCCTGTGAACGCTCAAACCTCCTATTAACCTTTTTCTGACACATGCAATTGAAATGACTTTGTCGATACTCACCTTTGGTCTTCAGAATAGAAAGAATTTTTGAGTTAGTCTTCTCTTTCCTGGAAACACAAAGACAAGTTATTAGCCTTCTAGAGTTATTATTTTACGCTTTCTTTGAAAATGAGCCGCTGCTATTTTATACCAGAAACTGTTAGAAAAGGGAAAAAGCAGGCACAGTGCAGCTCAGGGAACTTCCTTGACTCCTATAATTGTGCTAAAGGACTTCCACAAGGCCCTGTTTATTCAAAAATAGTCCAGAGACAGGGTTGCCAGGTTCCCATAGCTCTGGTGATATCGCTATGTAAATGTGTGACCTCCGAAAAGGCTTTGATCTACCTCAATGCATATGCAATAAGGCCCCCCCCTTCCACTTTTAAAGGCCTCCTCTTTAATTTACATCATCACAGAGGCTATTCAAAACCCCACAACATATCCTCATCATCTCTCAGGTTAGCATACGAATCCATATGGCTTATTTGTTTGGACCCTCTATATACAGCGCTGTGATGACACTTTTCTTGTGAAAAAAAAACGATTCAGAGTTTTAAGCAGATGAGCTCTGGCAAAAAAACAAAACTGTTGTGTGGCGTGTTCCTCCATCTGCATCAATTCAAAGCCATGACCCCTTTGATTGTCATCCTCTAAGTCACCCTCATCTCCTCATCTCTCCCTCCGCTAAGTCTTGGCACATGTGACTGTACATTGAGTGTGAGTACCAAATTACTCTGGCTGCGTTCCAATTGCGATCTTCTAAACTATATATTGCTGCTTTGCACCACTCAAGGCAGAACGCAAAGCAACTCCCATTCTTAACTGTGAACAGATTGCTCGGTGCTAAAAGCAATATACCATGCAGCCCGTATAACCATTAGAAAATAACCTTTATCTTCATATGCTGATAGGGCTTCCTACAGGACATTTGGAGGATTCTTGCATCTGTTCAGACAGCATGTTGAACCTCAGGCACTTAAAATGCTAGCAAATCAAAAGCAGAGGCTGTGTAAGAAAAGCTGCGCCAAAACAAAGAAAATAAAGACACATTGATGGATGATCAGCAAACTAAAGGTGCACGGTGTTGTGTTTCATTGGAAGGCAGGATTTTGTTGGCCAAAATATGTGTATTTTTGTAAATGAATAATCAAATCTTGGGAAATGTTGCAGATGGTAACTTTTTTTGTGTCGTCTATTTTGAGAACAAAATGATGGTTTTTGAAAAGTTAAAAGGTTTTTTTTGGTAGACTAATTTTATACTGACTATACAAGACTAACAGATGGCCATATACTAATTATGATGATGACAACAAATAATATCAGGTACCGGTAAAACTAAATATATAGATCCTATATACTCTAAAAACTAGGAAGAAAAGGGATGATATGTTGAGAGATTTTAGAACAGGCTAAGGGTGCAATATAATGTGAGGAATATACACGTATCTACATTTTAAAAAAACGAGATCCACCTGCTGTAAGCATTCTGCTTTATAAACTGAATAAGAGACGAAGTAGAGCCTCTGAAGCACGACTAAAGCAAGAGGACTACTGCATCCATTTACAATTGTTAGGCAACATATCTGCACCAGTCCCTGCTGCAGCAAAAATACAGCAATAATCCATACGATTACTTCCTCTCCTTTGCCACAATAATAGCTGTTACGGAGAGTAAATTGGGCTTTTCTTTTCTTGAACTCCCTCCCGGGGATGGGAATGGTCTATCAGCTGTTCCACTTCAGTGAGGGACAGGACTGATTTCAAGACAGGGCTATTACCATAGAGAGCCCAGACTGGATCTGACCCCACCAATCTAATATTCCGTTTCCATAAACATTTATGCCAGTTCATCTTCTGCTGAGTTTCCCTTAATTGAGGCAAATGATCTGAATATGTAAGACTGGGCTGGCCAGTGTTTCACAGGCTCCGGTAGATAGAGGTGAATGTAATGTGTAAAATGATGCAAATTACAGCTATTGTAATGTCCTCTTTTCTTTTCTCAATGCCTCGCTCATTCTCTTTCTCTGGCCTGTTACGATTCATATTGTTGTTTATATCCTGTTTTAACAGTTGCCTGTCTGCTGAGTCTACAATGACCCTTTCAAATTGCATGATGAGTTTAACACACGTTATGTAGTCAGTGCATTTGCTTAATCAGAACCTTGGTCTTGTTTTTGCTCATTTACACTACATGAGCTTAGTTAAACAATTCAAAACAGATTGTAAAAAGATAGTTATGCAAGGCTACTAGTGAAGTGATAATTACAAATACAAAATATAACAATCATATTACCGCATATCTCATAATGTATGCATTGGCAAAGGTATTGGTATCATTCTTCGGGAATGGTGAAAAGGTAATTTTTTTATAGAATAACACAATGACTATTACTGGTTTCCAATTTCCTGTAAACCTGGAGTTTAAAACGAAAATGTGGTTATTTTTGACATTTTTCTTTGTTGCCATCAAGAGCAGCATGCCGATTCTACTTACAATTTTGGAGTATTTACTTCTGCAAATATAATTGTGGTTTAGATTATGGTTTTAATTTGTTTCACAACATAGGCCTTCCCATAGCTGAAACAGCATGCTGTATTAGCCAGAGACTTTAGGCATAGAATGCTGCAATCATACATGTTGTTGTTGAATATGGAAAGAAATAGCACATGGACAAAGACATCTTCATATAGAACATAATGTTCTATCAGACTGCAGTCTAAAGCAATTGCAAAGCAGGACCAGGAAGGGTTTCTGGTGACGGATTTGACTTGTAATCCTAAACAGTGGCATTAGGGAATGTGAGGACTGACAGAGGAAATAATGCTTACCAAGCATTTAAAACTGTGTTGCACACAGATAGCGAGAAAACTGCTTTTATTTACCCTGGCTTTTTTTTTTTAAAGCTCCTGCCACCCACACACAAATGCTAATAGCACAATAGCACTTTTGCGCAGCGGTGCTTGTCTAAAGGTAAAGGGAGACCCATCACCTCATCATTCCCATCAACTCCTACTCCCATCCCAGCTATGACCCCGCAGAAACATTGTTTAGGCTCCGTTTAGATGTACTCTCACGGGCCTGAATGGTAGCAGGATATAGCGCTCAGTGGGGGCAAACAGTGAGACGCAAACTGTGTGCAGTGCGAGGGGGAACTCTCTAACATGTGAGTGCTCTCTGCTGGGCATGAGGAAGTACTGCAACTCAGAGGGAAGCTACTGAGGAAAAAGATTTGTACACAGAGAGCTCTGCTCCTGACTGAAGGCTGTGAAGTGGGGACGGCTAAAGCAAGGGATAGATCCTTCATCTCATGTTCAGGGCTGCTCTCTCTTAGTTCACTAATTGGTTGTTTTTGTCTTAGTCCACTTTAATGTATTTACATGAATACTACCTTTTGAATGCCTATTTCCTCCTTTTTTCATAATTTCCAAGAAACACATGAGCACATCTCTGGTAAAAACAAGTTGTATAGTGGTGATTTTGCAATATTCTTTGTGGAAGTACTCAGTACAACAGATCTGATTATTAAATCAAGTAGTCTATTATTTGACAAAATCATATGGGTGTCAGTCAACTAAGAATGTATTATGACAAGAGGACATTCACTGGCTTTTCCGTTGGTGTTTTAAGAATGTAATTCGACCAAGTTACAACATCAATCGAAAGAAGAAAATGCAATCAGGAATGACAGCCTAATAAATGACTGCAATACAACAATAAAGTTGACTTTGACTTGACTGCAGATATAAAAACTGGACATTATGTCAAATGTTTGCCTTTTTTTCCCTCTTTATCAGCCTAGTAACAGCTTATGCAGCTCAAGAGTAATTCAATCCTAAACCTAAAGGATATCGTTTATTTAAAATAACCAATATAGCATTGAAAGTGTTTAAAATGTTAAATTGATATGGCATATAATGTGGCATTATGTACTGGTTTGAGTCAGTAGGACAGTGACCTCCTCTGGTTGGAGACTCTAAATGAGGCCTTCCTCAGTAGTCACTGTCTTTTTGGCCTGGTTGTAATCTTATTTCAAACTGAAGGAGATCATGTTATATATTGCCAAATGTAAAAAAAGGCAAATGACATGTGAACCAAGTTTTCTGTTTGTTTTTCAGAGGTTATTCCACAGACTCAACACTGCCACATGTCTGACTTCTGCTCATTACATTTTGTCTTTTAAATAGTTCACGTGTTTCCCATTTATTTACTTTTGGAGAACAGGAGTACATCTTTTACTATCTATTTGACTGTAACCGTCTCTCTGCCTCCATCTATCTCCCCTTTCTACGTCTCCTCCCCTCCGGTCCTTTCACTCTCTCTCAGCTCATGTCCCTCTCACCCCTCCATCCCTCCTCCCAGTGAGCTGTCAGAGATCCACACACATCACCTCCCAATGAGACAGAGGGAGAGTGAGAGTGAGAGAGAGAGAGGGAGCTTCTGATTTTGACATTCTGAGTGATTTGAGGTCGAATGCTTGAGCACATCCTGTTGTCCAAGGCAAAGCTGTAAACCACTAATTGTTGAGTCAAGGTTTTTGTCAAGCAGGCACTAGGCACAACAATCATCACACCGGCTGATGGCTGGAGGATTGTGTGTGTTTTTGTGTGTGTGTGTACATGTGTACGAGTATGCACGATTCAAGACGAAGGGGGATGACGGAAAGGTATTATAAAACTCAAAATAAAAACAAGAAAGGAGTGGCATCTGAAATGCCTACAGTAGAAAGGAGCACAATGATTCTTTGCACGAGAGGAAGCAGTGGCATGCACTCGCGTACAAAGGGGAACAAGTGGTCTTTACATGGAGTGCAGCTGCTTATTAAGACTCACTCCTTCGTGCATTATTCCTTTCATCGCCACTCAACCACAAAGTGATTTTACTTTTCCACTCACAAAGACAGCAAAAGATTTATAATGGACAAATCAGTCGCTTCCCCACGAGTTATAATACAATAAACAGCACATTCTATAAAAGTATCTGACTGAAAAACACTGTGTGGGAGAGAGCAAGGAAGAGGGGGATAGAGGGAGAAAAAAAGAGTATGAAAGACCTCAATTCTCTCCAATGCCATAATAGTGAAATGAGCACATATAAATGTGTTAAGAGTATCTCTTTGCATCTTGTATAGACTGCATGTATTTAATCTGTAAAGCTTATTAAGGCCCTAGTCATTGCTATGCAAAGCAGCACCCAGTGCTTTTCTCTCGCTTTTCAGCCGAGTGCAGTGTTTGGCCAATAGGACTGGCCCCCCCGCCTCTCATTCTGCATTCATAACATGCAACATTTGCACAATGTATCTCTCAAAGGCCCTGAATAGAAGGCCTTAATACTCATGTAAACAACTGCAAACCAATTACTTAATGAATCGGGCCCACACATAATGAGGAGCCTCACAAAGGGCTATAAATGCATTTTTTGCACCAAAGCCTCTGCTTTAAACTACAATCCCTCTGCTGTAGTCCAGGCTTAACTGGCAAATCATAATTATTGTCTGAGACAACAGAGAGGAAGCCATTTTTGTATTTTGAGTCCGGCTCCATCCTCCTTTTGATGAGACTCATCAGCTCGCTGACAAAATAAAGCAAATAATTAACAAGTAGGATGGAGAGGAGGGGAGGAGGAGGAGGAGCGGAAAATACAGGAAGACAGAGAAGAAGAAGGGGCGAATAGATGGAGAAAGGGCAAGCGAGACACACACAGAGAGAAGCAGGGCGAGAGCATGCTGCAGTGTTATGCTTCTGCTTAAGTGCAGGGCTTGCAGACCACTTGTGGAAGCAATAAAGCGCAAGAAGGGACTGTGGTAAGTGGAATGCTTAAATCTAAGCGTCCAGGAGAAGCAAAGAAAAGACGGAGATAAATGGTTGTATGACCAAAGAAAGGATTATGGTCATGGTAGCTCATGTCCTTACTAACTTGAGTGAGATTACAGTGTTAGGCATGTATAACTACCCATTTGTCAAATATACACAACCGCTGATGTCATTCTCTGTCTTTCTGCAAATGTTGTTTAATCCCATATATTGCGGGCTTCCCATGCACATTCAGACAGGAGGACAGGCACCATCTGAGAGGGTCTGTGTCCAACATTGGCTCATGTTTATTAAAGAGGGTGGTCACCGGGGCTGGCAGTGGCAGGTATGAGGGCCACAATAGAGCCAGCCCATTAGGCCCTTCCCTGGACTAATAGGCAGACTGGGAGCTGCCAGGCCAGGGAGATACAGACTCCAGCCCTTGTGTCAGCGTGGTGCCCAGTAATCACATGAAATCAGAGAAGATTATTCCTCATAACGTTTACCCAGCCATTACGACAGCCCAAATGGGTTTTCAGTGAAGAGGTACTCGGAGGACCCGACGTGCAATTGCAGATTTGATGAAGTCGTGTTGATATTCAAATGTAGCTGTGCTGTTCTTAGCTGCCTTCCACCGAGCTATTTATCATTAGATCTTCTTTTCCAACCCACTTAGGGCCCTGATTTGAGAAGCCTAAATGCTTTTCAAGGGTGAAAAATGAAAGGCGATTTGTCCTTGTCAACACTCCTTCTTACCAAACAGTCGTCCCTGATTCTCTTCTTGACATATCTATTTGCCTTCTGACAAACACCCAAAGACAGCGACATTATGACTCCCAATTTATTTATTACAGGACATTTTGATTTTTTGATTTCCCAAACCTGGCTGAACCGGGCAAACAGTGAGTGAGAGGGGGGCTTTAGAGGCCTTTTGTCTTTGTAAGCGAGTTAATGGGTGGCGCCCCCTTGATCTTATGGAAATGAACAGGGAATTATGAGAGCGGCCATGCAAATGTACATCAACCACTTTGGTGTCTGGTGGCCCATTTCCTGTGGCCCGTTGAATAATAACAATGTTCTTACCCGGGGTAAGGGTCTTGATGTGAGGAGCGTTTGGCCCTCCCCAGGTCCTCTTCATGGTCATGATTTATTCCTTCAAAGAGCAAACAGGGGCCAGAAAAAAACATTTGATTTAGACATCTCATCACATAATCTACAATGCGTATTAAGATAGAAACATACGGTGAAGCTTATGAGGGACTTGACTGGTCCCTGATGTTGATATATTGATATGTGATACACCGTTATGTGAGGCTAAGAATATGAGTCTGTGATTGCTAAAAATGTAGTTGATGAAAACCCAGCTTTGAAGACTAAAATGGACTTTCTCCCTGGAATATATTATATTGAAATGGGACCAGTTCAATACAATCTGGCAGCCTCACTTACATTTCCTTGGACCTGATTTATCAGCCATTATTGTAAAAGGAACCTCCTGAATCTTCTGTAATAATAAGAAAAGGCCATCATAGAAGTGCTTCTCCTGTAACCTCCTATGTATGTCTGAAAACTGAGCTGTTTTGATAGTTTTGCATTGTAATTCAGTAGTTGTGATGTATCTGCTGTTATTACTGAGTTTGTAAAAATTAAGAATAATCCAACATATTGTTTGAAATAGACCTTCTTGACATAAGGCCAGTGTTGACCAGTCATTAGGCTCCTGTTGCAGTAGGCTGCATCTCTTACCTGAGAGTTCATCCTCCTCCTCTTCAGAGCTCTGCAGCCTTTCCTGCATCGCTGATTGTTTAAGTAACTGATATGCTTTTGTCTCTGTTCAGGGACACACACACAAAGTCACTGTCAAATATTTGCTTAAAACCTAGGTTTCCAACTTTCAGAGGTTTCTGTGTTTGATGAGACAACACGCTCCAGTAGCTGACTCTTTTGGTGTCAGAGTGGCTGAGAACAGCTCGCTCAATCCGCTAAGCTGTTGATTCTAGCCTACAGCATGTAGCAACAGTTTCCATGAGACAGCAATCAGCATCTTACTGTATCTAAACAACCCCTGCCAGGAAAGGCAATGATTGATTTTCGGTTTTTAAAAAAACACTCATAATTACTTTCACACTGGCACTCTAAAGTAGGTATCACATTTTAAGAGGAGCTGGCACACAAATAAACAGAGCAGGAGAACATAATAAATCATGAGCTGTTGTCTCAATCATGTATCCAAAAAACACACTTACCAAATCAAGGGGGAGAGAACAATGGTGATCTTGTATGACCAAGTCCTGACTTTCTTTTACTTGTAATCATGCTCTAAATATAATATTATATGTGCAGTGTTATGCCACCCACAACACTTTACACAGGCATTGCTTTTACATGTAGTCTGAAAACAACCATTATAATAATAATAATAATAATAATAATAATAATAATGTCTGGGCAATTACTTTCAGTTCCAAGGTCATGGTATTTGATTGTGACATTGATGTTGCTCGCCACAGCAAACCCCTTTCCCTTACAAAATCTTTAGTCATGTTTTCTTTCTACTGGCTCTTTTGATTAGGTCTAGCATTTGGTAACTGGACTCATTTCGCTGGCTGTGCACCTTGGGGATGCAGACACATGAAACAGCCTGTGGGATATCTGATAGCTGAAGGTAATACACAGTCGCTTTACATTTCAGAGGTGCACACCAACTGCTTCCAGGATGCCTTCACATCTAGTATTTTTTCAAGTCCAGCCTTTTCAGGGCATTGTTTAGAAGATAATGAGAAGCGATGACAGATCTCTTGCGCTTCCCACCCTGGCCTCCTGACAATTAAAGCAGCCGCATTATGCCGGGGCCAGCGAATTATCAATTTCGCCGGAATGCCTCAGACCAGGATGAAAACCTAGCTAGTGTTTTTTTTCTTCTGGGAGATAATTAGAGAGAACTAGCACAGCTCTTCAGGTGGGACTTTGACCCTGGATTCACCTTGATCGTCCTGCCTCAGCCATTGGGTGAAAAGAGGCCATTATTCACTGCAGTGGGAGGAAAACAAACCACAACATAAGGACAGTGTGAATGCTGGGGCACCGGTGATGCCTTTTACCTCTAATAGGAACACTTTCCACAGGGCTTTCGGCCTGGCTGTCCTCTTCAGTACTTTGTAGTTCTGTAAGAAAGGGAAGCACATAGTGAGAAGCAGTGGCAGGGAGGAAGGGAGTCTCGGGGTAGAAATGGGAATGGGGGGTCTTTCTTTAGCTCTGAATGGAATGGCCTGTAGGAAAACTGGGCTGTGAGGGATTAATAAAAAAGCTCTATGGTGAAATTGATTTCTTTCATAAAAGCGTAGTTCTCTGCATAGGTAGTTTACACACAAAAAAGCAGTCTTCATCTGTTCCTAGTAATGTTCTTGTTTTACATTGCTGTGCAAAGACAGAGCCTTGGTTGTTTTGAACATTAGGAAGAATATACTAACAGTAACAGTTTTTTTAATTGTCAGAAAATGCATTCCCCCATAATAAATAAACTAAATCCAGCATTCAAATGTGGTGGATAATTGGAATATGCCATGCTTTAAAAAAAAAATAATACATTTCAGTAACCTTGGATCTGTTGCTTCTGTACCGGCTTGGCGGGAGTCACATCAGCGTCCGCCAGGGGAGAAGGAGGACCAGAAGAAGGAGTCGAGTCACTCTCGTCCTCCGCTGAGGGGCACTCCTCACTGGACCGGGACACAAGTGTCCTCAGCAGCACTTTGGCCTGTGAGCAGCACAAATTAAAACCACACTCTTAATTGTTCCCATTTTGTGAAGGAAGTGTCAAATTGAACTCTCGCCGATTAGGCAACTCATTTACTTTGGCCATGGCTGCTCGCACAGGAGGTGCAGCTGAAGCGCGTGTTCAAACGCCAAGAGAAAATAACTTCAAATTCTCTCAGTCATTTAACTAAAAAAAGATTATTTCGCACACTTTCGCTCCCGCTCTGCCTCTCTCTTCTCATCCATGAGATTAGAGAAGCGCCTAAAGAATGCAATCACCCTGGCGTTAATGTGCAACACGTTCCACATATCTCCCCTCTTGGCTGAGGGAATTGAGACAAACTGCTCTCTTCCTCCCTCTCCAGCTCATTTTTTTTTATCTCCGGGGAGATGAGGATACACAATTAAGAGGAGCTGTTCCGGGAGATGAGGAGCATGGAGATGCCACACACCGATTTCCCTTTCTCTCCTTTTTCCCTCCCCCATATCAAATCGTGCCATCATCCTCATCTCTCTTTTGTGATCAAAGACTGCCTCTCAGCCTCAGATGGCCATTTGCAACTTTTAATGAGCACTAATAGGGAGGGGATGATCAGGAGGATTTTGACAGTGACAAACTTTAAGTGCATTGTGAATTGTTATCAGTAGGTCGCAGTGAAGATTGACAAAGTACATGCTTTCATTCTGTTTGAGGGGAAGAGAGGCAAACACATGCCAATCTGAGCTTGCCACTTGGTATTTGATGTTTCTGCACAATAAAAACTGTCTTGATCCTTGTCCCCGATATCCGTCTTTGTTTTTTTTGTTTTTTAGTCAAATGTACTGTGGGTTGAGGGCTCTCGCGGACCCACTGCATTTTAAATATCAATGAATGCAACTGTTAGCACTTGAATATTCAAAGGGCCTCTTTGAGTGTGTGCATGCGAGCTGCATGCTCCCATTTGTCGGAGTAGCCAGGCTGTGTGGCATTACGTGAATGGACATTTCTGTTTGCTCTTGTGCGAGGAGAGTAAAGCTGTTGTATGTGGACAGAAAGAGAGCAGAGAAGAAGAAATCCAGGGAGGGAGGGAGAAATAGATGGAGTAGATGGAGTGAGAGCGATAAAGGGGGAGAAAGATTTTCACTCAGGCTTTTCCTGATGCACTTGGACACAATGATGTAGATGGCAGTGGCTCTCTTCCTTTTGTCAGTTCATATTTTCAAGAGGCTCTATAGTGTGCCTCTCAGTGCGTCTGGGACACTGGAGCTAGATCTCCGAGCCACAAGAATCCCAACAACATTGGTCCTCAACTAAACGTATAAAACTGCATGTATATGATCATTCCTGAAGATTCCTGACATATATCTTGACATCTATAGGTTTCAAGTATGAATATTAATTGTAATTCCTGTCTTTGTTTAATTGAGCATGATCTGCACAAGGTCAATGAGCAGGAAATTATAAATAATCTTTGTGGTGAGAGTCCAAATGGCTCCCTCATTCAATCGGACCCAGCTGATGGCTATACTTTTGGCTAATGCCGTATTAAAAGCAAGTGTTTCTCAGATGAATACGCCACGTGAGATGAAAGAAGCCAAGCAGAGGCTGTAATTTGCGATTAGCGCACGGGTCAGGGTTCCCCTTCTGTCTAGGTCAACGTGTGGAACAATCTGATGAGTCGGCAGCCAGGGCTTGGTTTCAAACGCCAGGCACCAAAAGCATGCAAAGAAATAAAAACAAGCCTATTTGGAAAGAAGAAAAAGGATGCATTCTACTCCTGGGGTCATATGTGTGTTAATGTCTGCTTGCTATTGGGAGTGGGTGCCTTGAAAGTGTGTGACCTTGCATTTGTGTGTAGAAGTGGCATGTGTATGTGCCTCCAACGCTACCTGGTGGCTGTAGGTGGCATGGCGCTCCAGCAGCAGCGGCGTGAACAGCTGGACCAGGCGCTCAGTGCTGAGGACACGCTGCTCCTTCAGCAGAAGGGCGTGCTTGAACCAGCGATCCCACAGCCGAGCGGCATCAGGAGGGAGGCTGGTGCTGGGGTGAGGGTGGGGGGAATTAGGAGAAAGAAAAACATAGGCTTTTCTTATTGAATACACAGAGGGACATTTGTAAATAATGTAACTGTAAAAGACGCTTTAATTATCGGGAACATTGAGAAATAAGGATAGAGAAATAAGATTTGTTCTCATAAATGATTCTCTAAAGGCTAATTGCTAATCCTAACACTTTATAAGAATGACAGTCAACCCTGAATACACAGAGACTAATATAGCACCAGGTTGAAAACTAGATAAAAGGTCAAAGCGCCAATAGGCATCTCCAGAGGAAAGTGAGGGACACTGCTGGATGTGTTTCTTTAGTTGGAGGTCTCGGTGAAATCAATAGAGTAGTGAAGCAAAGCATGGATTTGGCTCAGAGTATAATTACTCATTATCCAAAGGACTGGAAGTCACAGATAGGGCATTTTAATTTACTCATGACATTCACCCGTGCAGTGTTGCCGCACGAGGTGATACCAAAGATGACCTTTATGTTTGTGGACAAGGGGAGGCTGTATCGAATGGTAGCGTGCACGATATCTTCAGCGACTGTTGTAAAGTGCGAGCCCTCTCCCCCACTGTCAGGTCCAGAAAATATTAATAAAATGCAGCTATCCTCTCTTTGTCTAGAAAGTGGAATTCATTTTCTCCTGTAAGTCTGTTCTCTGTTTCCATGGAACAAATATATCTGTTGAACTGTGTAGCTGTCGGTTGGTATTTGCGCTCTACTATAACCCTACTTATAAGGAGAGTTAAAAATGTAATCACAAAACACATAATATACCGGGTTTCTGCAAGTTTCAATACATTCGTTTAAGGATTTTGTAAGACCTTTAAAGGGTAAGGAATGCAATTTAAGGCCTATTTTATACCAATTGTGGAGGGAAAAAAGTGTGAAGGATAGGAAGAAAAGTCCCAGAATGAGTTGCAAGTAAACACATAAGCAATGTCAGAAGAGCTCATCTATGTCTTCATTGCCTTTCAAAGACTGATGTTTCGCCTTTTTTTTTTTTGAGAGGCATCATGGTAGCTGAAAGTGCTCAGATTATTTCTGACCGGACAGCACAATTGTGATTGGTTCCATATTTAGTTTTGAACAGAAAAATCATGACTTTTTTCCCCAAAACACTGAAGCTAATGACGTTTACTTCATAGTCCAAATGTTTTTGGTTTTGGAATTAAGAGGATTTAAAGGGGGCCCTATTATACTTTTTGGGGTTTTCTCTTTCCTGTAGTGTGTTATATAGGTTTTTGTGCATGTCAATGGTGTGCAAAGGCTAACATCCCAAAATGTCTTTCCCACACACTGCCTGAAGTTTACTTCAAAAACATAGTGACATCACTATGTAACACACACGTTTCTATTGGCTAGCCGTCCACCACATTCACATGATAGGCTAAGGGGTGGGAAAACTCTTAGTGGGTGACCAATTACAGAGTCGGCCAGCTAACCAATCAGAGCAGACTGGGCTCTGGTTTCAGACAGAGGGTGAAAAGAGGTGCTGCAGCACAGGCAGTCTGAGATAAATAAAGAGCTTTTTGAACATTAAAGCATGGAGACATGTCACAGAAGAGGCACAACATACAAAGATGAACCTGAAAATGAGCATAATAGGGCCATTAAGGACAGCAAGAACCCTGCTATGCCCCACTATATTTGATCTTTTTTGTGTGTGCGTTGTTTTTCTTTTTTTTCTCAGAAGTCGTAGTTTGTTCCGAATGAAACATAATGCACAGTTCTGAAGGTGAAAAAATTACCTGAGTAGTAGAGTTCCACGAAACGATTAAACCTGACAATGCCATTGTGAACTTTTTATAATTCCACAATAATCTGTGTCATTAAGAGAAGAAAAAGCACACACACACACTACAGAATAAATGAAACAAAAACACGACAACAGTCTTTAGTGTTGGATTCCCAGGAGGCCTTACCTTATTGCATTAGGCTCAGTGCTGGACTGCTGAGCATCCACTAGATCCTGAGGTAGCAGGCAACCCTTTTCTGTGCCCCATGACAACCTCTGAAGCTCATGAAGGATGACTGCTCCACATGCTTTAAGGTCCTCGCCATTCACGCCCTTGCCACCGTTACAAAGGCTGTTCAATATATAGAGAGCAGTCAGCTATTGCCATGGAGCCCCACGGGTCAGGTGCACACAGAGGACATCCAACAGCTGCTAACACTCCACACACAGTAAACAAGCGTGATCATACACATCAATGCACATGCACACAAAATATCCCAGGAAGAATAGACACTGGACTGAGGGTCATAACACACGATCGCCACTCTGGTTACTATTGAAGATGTTGTTGACATCATTTACAACACTCATAGTCGCATAGATGGGGATAAACTGGGTTTAAAAAGAGTGCAAAAGCTTTCATTCGCCAGACATTTATCCGTACTTTACAACAAGAACTGTAATTATGGTAAATTAATCATGCTATGAAATATAAAAAGGCTTATGAAAAATAAGCCCGGTCTAATGAAACACGTTCTCCATCCTCCATCTCCCCTAACTCCCACTAACAATTCAACAGGGTGGTTACTATAACAATCCTGTGTGTTTGAAAACCCCTCAGAATTAAAGACGTGCATGTTGGTGATGACACTTCATCTAAAGTGAGAGCCCTTAGCAGAAGGATAATATGTTTTCCTCGTCTGCACAAACTGCTCCATGGCCGTTAAATAAATAAACACAGCATTTAATGCAGCGATAAGATTGTAAAGTCTGAGGTAAGACAGGAAGGGTATACCGGATAATTCTCTGGAGTTGTCTTCCATCAATCGAAGCATCCTCGTACACACACGTCTGCTCACCATGGAGTCGTCCTTCGATGTCGTCTAGCAGATTAAAGAGTCCTTCCTGGGAGAGACTAAATACATGTTTCCCATTCATTTGGTGAAAGGAGATAGAAAACGCAGGAGGCCATGTGATCGATATGCTTGATATTTGTAATAAATTACTAAAATAGGTGCAATTTGAGAGAAAAATCTTTGATGCATTTTTGCACTCAAGGACTGCTTGAGGAATCTGATCATTAGAAGAAGAAAAAAAAGGTACTTAACAGACAAGCAATTCAAAGCATGTCTGCGCCACATGTAATGACAGGTTGTGTTTGAAAACTGTCATTCAAAACTAGAGCTTGTACAATTAGCTGAATATTGTGGAAATACAACTTTAAATCAGCCTTTATTTAAATGGCCAATTCAACTTAAAGGGGACCTATCATGCAAAATGCACTTTTGTACGTCTTTTATACATGAATATGTGTCCCCGGTGTGTCAGGGAACTCACCAAGTGTCAGAAAACACAACCCTCTCTCTTTTCCTCCATACGCAAATCTCTAAAAACGGGGCTGCAACGGAGCTGATTATTATTTGAATTTTTCTGACGTCAGAAAAGGGGTGCTCCGCCTATATGGGCAACTCTCCACCTATCAGGGGAATGAGAGACCGCTCGAAAGCGCTGGAGACGCTGTAGTACATATGCCAGGCCTGTAAGTGGTGCTGTAGTCTGCCAGAAAAGCAGAATCAGCCCTTGCAAAAACAGGGCTGGAAAAGAGCAAATAGAGCGAAATGAGGCATGGCTAAAATGCATGATCTGTTTGGTATTTTGAAAAAAAAACTTCACAGACATGTTTTATATAGTTATGGCCCTACAATATATGTTTCAAATATAGCATGATAGATAGATCCACTTTAATTATAAATAGTATATACAGTATATATATATATCCAATGTAAAAAGTCAAACAAAATGACATTTACATTTCTAAATACAAGGAGAAAGATTTCCCCCAAAAATGTGGGCCTCGAGATGATTTCTCTTCATTTTGTTAGAGATTTACTTTAATCTGGTGCTGTATGTGCTGCAAAATGAGAAATGGATGCCTAATGCATGTGGATATTGAGAATCCATCTCTTTTTTGAGCATTAAGCTCTGGGTGGCCCTCTTTGAATTCTGCCATGAAAACCCCAGCCGAGAGATCCTGAGCCCCCTACATAAAAGGGGCCAAAAAGAATTTATGACAATCTGTAATGGGCTCCTGGGTTAGGGGTCAGCAAACAATTGCTCCCTCTTTTTTGCAGGTTGTTTCCTGGTAACATCCTGATTAAGCTGGCAGCTCGAATTATATCCATGACATTCTGTAGTGTGCAATCCGTCTGTGCTAAGTCCTCTTCAGTGTGGCTGAAGTAGCATAGGCAAAAGCTATCTTTTTTTTTTCTCTCTCTCCCTTATCATCAGCGTGGGCCTTGAAATAGTCATCTTTCTCTTTCCACTTTATTTGTCAATGCTCTTCAAAAAGAGACCTTTAGAGAGGGAGAAAGTGAATTAGTTGTGTTTTTCTGCAAACCCCTCTCCCTCTCTCTCATTGTATTGGGCCAGCATTCATGTCAAGGTCCCCGACCTCACTTTAGATGCTGCTGTTGTCCGCGTGTCGACATCATCAGGAGCGCGTATTGTTAGCTAGGAGGAAGGGGTCAGCCTCTACGCAGCGATATTGCTCTACAGTGTACAGCACTGGCTCCGGTGTGATTTACCACACGGAACGGTCTCATTGTGGAATGATTAGTGTCAGAGGAATCTCACAGACGGCAAATATAACAGACAAAGGAATGGGAAAACCACAAGTAATAACAGCACATTGAGCATGGGATTGCCAGGCAAAATCTGGGATGGACCCCACCACACAGTGTACAAAGTACAGTGTGACAACGTGCAACAACACCACTAAATACAAGTCATCTTTGCAAAGATAAAGCTAAATACTCGAATGACATTGCAAAACTTTTGCATATTTGTTTTCATTTTACATCTAGTATTGGATTTTTCAGAACTTAAAATTGTAAGGCGTACTGCCACCGATGAATCGTGCAGTTCAGGGACGACACATGTGAGAAGAGGACACAGGGAGGCCATTATGATGAGTCTCGAAGGGAAAAAATACCTGGAGGATATTTCAGTCGTACCCTCACTCACCCCAGCCATGCTGGAGGAGAAATATAATGGGATAATCTAATGAATTGCTCAGGCTTGTTTTTCCTGACGGTGAGCAGAATGGAGGGAGTGATACAAACTCTAACCTTACGAAAGAGAGAGAGACAGAGAGAGACTGGATGCTCTCTGAGCTTTACATCAAAGCCTCTGGTTTTCTCCTCGCACACAGAAGCCCTCCGTGTTAACAATGAAAGATGCAGCCCCCTCCCATCGTTTCCCTGGAGCAGGCTAACTGCAGTTCCTCTTGAGGTCACACCATAAACAGTATAGTAGACCACACAAAGACACAATCATTCACAAACAAACATGCAGTACTCTCATAGAGAAATTACAAATCTTCAACTTTTTAGATTTTTAGAACATTTGAATACACAAAATAATATGTTTGCGGTAAGCAATATTTAAATTGTGGCATTTAATATTATTTTGGTCGGTAAGTGATTGACTCCCTACTTGTAAATGCTCTGATGTATCTACGTTGTTGCAAAGCCCACAAAAAAATAAAAAATGGTTTTGTTTAGAACAAAATAAGTGTGCAACTTGGTGCTTAGCTTAAAACAACCACGCATATAATGATTAATAGGAATAATGTAAGTAACACTATCCCTCAGAATATGGTCAAGAAAAATAAAGTGTTCCTGTTCTTTTTAGGAGCATAGGCGCTCCTGTTCATTATATACTGTATTTCGTAGTGGAAATGCAGAGACTGTGGGTGCAAACATTCACATGGGATTTTCTGTGGCTCTAACCCCATCCAAAATGATCCTTCAACTCAGAGGCCATCATCACGCTAAGGATTTGTGGCTGTAAGTGCTGTCCACATGCCCACCCTCCAGAACACTCTATGGTGCCACACATTTCCTCCTCCACTGGGGACTTCCTGAGGTCTCTCGAGCAGAAAATTGCTCTGTTACAGCATTATCTTGGATTATGGCAATATTGTTAGTGACAGGTCCTGAGCTCTCCCTATAAGATGCATCACTGCCACCACCGCTGCTGCCGCTGAGCCACAGAGAGCGCGGTGGCACCGACCGTGACTCCCACAATCCTCTCTGTCAGCCTCTGATGTGATGGTGGCAAGGACTGTACGCTGTCTCCTATCATTAACAGCCCTCTGTGGTTCAGCTCGGCTGTGCACAACATTCCCCTTCCTCAGCCTGCTTAGCCTTAAATCTTGGCAAAAAAAAAATACTGACTGCATTGTGCACATTTTAAGAAGTGTTGGTGTTTTCCCCCATCAACGCAGTTTGACAATTCAACACAACAAAGTACAGAAATCTTAAATACTCTACCTTTCCAAGGTCACCGCTGGAGCGGAGGACTGGCCGTTTGACTGGGGTTTGTTTTTGGACCCGTCAGAGTGGAGGGAGGTTTCAGGACTGTGTTGATTTTGATCATTGCTCAATTCAGAAGTGGCATTTCTCTCAGGTGCCACACCCTCTGGTGGATCCTCATCCAGCTCAGATTGTGTCAGGGAAATGGACAGGTCGCTTGCAGTGCTCTCGGACAGCTGCACATCAGAGCTAGGTGTGCTGACGCTCTCGCCTCTACCTGAAAGTAAATACATTTCAGTTAAAACTATACAGATATTCTATAATAAGCATAAGAAACAGCATTGCAAACCTGGTATATCTTCAGCTTCTTCTCCGAAAGTGGTTTGAGGCAGGAAATGGCCGAGAGCTCTCTCCACATCTTCCATTATGGGTGGCTGATGAGCCGCTTCTCGGGGGTCAGAGTGCTCTACAGGGGAATTATCAGCCTTCATGAGTCTACTGCTGCTGGGTTTCTTCTCAAGCCCCGTCAAGGTCACTAAAGGTGATGGTTCTTGTTCATCATCACTTCCAAAAGGCACATTGCCAGCTGCGCCTGTTAATGCGCGGACAGATGGGAGCATCACCATCGTTCTTTCATGTTTGTCACTCAAATTACAGCCGTCTGGGGAATCGTTTGAGCCTGAAATGTCATCTGATAAATGTGCTCGGTTGCCGGCGGCATCCTCTCCGCCAACTCTGAAGTCCTTCAAAAGGCCACTTGGTAGACGTTCGCGGGAGTGCATGCTGCGATTGGGTGAACGATGCAATGCTTGGTGTGAGTGTACACTTGTGGTGCCAGCTTCAGCGTCAGACCCTCTGGAGGTCTGGCGGCCCATAGAAATGACTGCTGATGGCTGTGTAGAGTCCCTAACTGGATGAGAGAGGGAGCTGTCCTGGTGCTGTCTGTGCACAGCGTCAACCTGCAAATAAGTGAGAAAATACAAATCTGTGTATTTACACATTTCCATTCCGTTATAAAAATGTTTTTTTTTTTCAAATAAAACTGATCTTCAAAGACATTTCATTTCTTGCTTCAAAACAATTCCACTCAAGTATGTTTACTATCCACTTTTCAAATTTGAATAAGCGTGGCTCATTTGGGACAAGGTCAGAATTATTTTTTACAAACAGCTTTCCGAAAAATGTCTCAAGATCAATGTTTTAACTTTATTATTTATCCAAGTTTTGATTCATGTCGGCAATGTCACCGAGAAGGGACGGGGGGCTGGGGGGGGACGGGGGGGGAGTGAAGCAAAAAAGCCTCCCTCCAAACATAATAACAAAAAGCATGGCTTCTGTTTCTTTTCTGATAAGCGTCTTAAATACCAAACAGTTAGCTGCTTAATAACATTCACTGTAAACCATGCAGCCTGCCCAGCAGATCCACAAAGTAGGTAAAAAAAAAGAGGAAAAGTTAATTTCTTGGCTGAGTGATTCCATCGGTAGCTGCAGGGCAAAGTAGAAAGTGTTTCACTAAAGTAGCAATTGATTCTTCTATCAATCTGCGGCACGCGTGTGCTCTTCCAAGGAATGTATTAAATATGAAAATCATATCCCGTTATCATCTGTCTCCAGCTTTCAGCCCGGTAAGCTTCCCTTAATGAATGCTGCAGCCTGAGGGACATGCACACTGCCAGCCAATGGCTTGTATGCATAATGGAGTGACGGTACCATTTTGCTCATTACAATATCGACAAGCTGACGGGGGTTTTGCACACAGTTACAAGTGACTGCTCTAGACAGCATGCTCCAAGTTATTATGAGATGTCTTAGACATTTCATCTAAAAGAGCTTTAACTGCTTTAAGTGAAGGGAGAAAGCAGCTATGGACTTGAACTACATCGCTTGTACAGATGCACCAGCTAGGATTAGGACACCTGTGCTATTACAGATACACAGTTTAAATGTAGACTCCTCTACAGATTTACCAGGCATAATGTCTACTTTCCTTTGTTATTCCAAAGCTGAAAACACAGCTTGATAGAACTGAGATTTGCATAGATGGTGTAAACATTTCAAAAAGGAAGGATCTAACGTAAGTAAAGCAACTGCTATTTTTAACCATGAAAATATATGTGATAAAACAAACATACGACAGAGGTCACACAGGACATAGATCCATCAAGTACAAATTCATACACCCTAGATATGAATGCACTTGTTATAGTATTCAGTTTGAACATCCTAGCATTACCATTGCTGCATCAAGTTCTTTCTCCATATTCGTCTTTGCTTCCATACATCTAGAAATCTTTTTGAAAAAGTCAGCGTGTAGGAGATGTAAAGACAGAATAAAGAAAATATTAGATTAAGATAAGAGCAGACAAATGACACAAAGGTCATAGTCAAGATATTTAACTGACAGACAAACTAACACTGCATGCTAGGATGTGAATGTTATATTGCTGTGATAGTGTTGTTGAATATTATCTGAATGTGGGTCAAATCAGAAGGTTTGAAAAAGAAAAATGTGACAGCGTCAAGGATCAGTCAATCACAACGGGTTTTCCCAAGCGAGTGTCCTCTGTGTAGCTGCTGACATCCTTTAGCATTTATCTGACCGGCCAGACTAAACTGCCTTAATCCCAACTTCAATTAAAAACAACCAATGGCCATTTTAAGGGCACTTGGATTAACTCAAACATGCCAAAAAATGTCATAAAAACAATGACGGTTCAGAGAAGCAGGCAATTAAAAGACAGCTTTACCCAATTTCGAATTTATCCACTCGGTATTTGAAAGTTTTGCACAACCAATAAACAAACATGTCATAAATGTAAGCACATCATTATGTGTAACTTCCCGTTATGTTTTTCATTGCCCCAATCAGAGTTAAAAGTGAAAATCTAGGTGACTTCAGACAAAGGAGACAAAGCAGCAGGACAACCAAAATAACAACAGACATGTCGGACTCATAAAGCATCAAGAGGAAATAAACCAACTGCTTGAGGGGAGAGAATGACTAAACCTCTGGAGCACTTCACAGCCTCTATATTGGGCAATTAACTCAGCGAGTCATAATTAGCCAATTTTGTTAATTTGATATTAAGCTGTCAAGCACTGTCGTTGAGTTTTAAGTGATAATCTGACTGGCTCATTGTTTTCTCCCTCGTTCATTTGCCTGTCGTGATAAATTGCACAGTTTGAGTGTTTACTATTGTCACATCAAGCAATTGCAAGCAAACATGTCTACTCCATGTTCAATTACTGCACATCATTAAGGCAAATGTTTCATTATATTGTGAGTTTATTGTTCTTGTTCCCTGTCCTAGTATGTTGGGTAGTATTTACTGAGCACAAAGTACTACAAAATACAAATAAAATAGTTCAACTATATTTAAATACTGCTTTTTAGACAAAGGTACAATTGTGTGAACCTGGATAAACCCCCATGGCAAGATCTTTGCAAAGATGTTTTTAAATAAAACTCCATAATGAGAAAGCTGCTACACTGAACAATTGAAATGGTGTGCATGTGTGTGTATGTGTGTGTTTTACCTTTTGTTGTTGCAGGGGGCCATGGTCAGGACGATATTCCTTCATGCTAATTTCTATGCACTCCACATCTCTCAGAAGCTCAAGGTTTCTCCTTTTCGCTCGTGCTTCCCTGTCACAGATTTCTTTGAGATAACTGCGCAGTTTGGAACACTTTATCTGTGAGCTGAAGGCAATGGAGAGCTATTATTCCAGAGAAATATTATCAAGGAGCATTGTCAAAAAAACAAGAGCTTGACTTCTCAAAAGAATAGGTTAAGCACAATATGCTTTAAATGCAAATCGTATTCCCAACTCTCGTATCAGCTGTTTTTAAATGGCATGTTCATATTTACTAGAATCAATTTGCAATAAAAAATGGCTGTTCAGCTTACTGTTTATATTTTTAACAAAAGACAAATCAGATAAAATACCGGGGTCTTTTTTACATCATTCCAAATAAAAATGCTTATATGGCTATGCTGAAAACAGTGATGGAGACAATATGTACATCCTTTATTTAGGTAGAAGTACTTATACTACACCTTAAATGTATTGACATTTAACTTTAGTCATAAAATTAATCAAAACTGAAAATTACATTTACACAATTAATCTTTAGGAATAGAAGCAAAGCTTTACATTTTAGAAGCTGGAACTATGACATGTTATACACAAACAATTACTAGAATTAGCAGATATTGTTGTCAACTAATCTTCTGTCAACCCATGACTTGTTTCGGGTAATACAAATAATATTAGATCATCACCAACATATTTGTAAAGTTCCTTCAATATTTAGTTACTAGTAATTGAATATGTCACATAATAACATAGTGGTGTAAAAAGTAAGAGTACAAGATGTCCCTTTGTGATGTAGTGTAGTAGAAGTTTAAAGTTTAACAGTACTTAAGTTAATTTACTTGAGCAAAGCTACATTTATAGAAAGGTCTTTCTACTTAAATATCTCATCTATCAAAGGTACAGCTTAATATGAAAGTCAAGGTATGAGAACAAGGTAAAGTAATCCCTTTTTTCTATAAAGTAATCCGTATAACTTACATTCTTTTATCAGATCTGGAGTAAGCAAACAGTTCCCTCTCCAGCTGCAGCCTCCGCTTCTCCCTGCACACAGAGTCAGAGGGGCTGTCACCCACACCCTGCAGCATCCCCGTGGTTTGCTAGGCTAATTGACGGCTAATTATCACCAATATTAGGGGTAATTATATATTTACTCGTTAACAAACTAACCGTAGTGTGTGTGCTAATGTTAGCATGCGAATTGATTGCAAAATATCTGCTACATGCGTATGCGTATGCTGATATTCCTCTTACTTACAAACACGAAGGTTAGCTTCATTGGAACGTTAGCTAATTAGCAACGATAACACTCACAGTTATGTAGGGTTAGCTTTCCATTCATGTATTACAAGAACAACCGCAATATAACTGATGTTATCTTCGTGTAACCTACAAAGTAAACAGACTACCAGAAACGAGTTATAATGCAGCTAATTCTTCAGACTTCACTGGTTAGCTAAGCAGCTAGCCTGCAGTCTGCCTGCAGGAGGATGCTACCAGGCGGCCGAGAGCACAACTCGAGTCCGCAGTCTACACTTGGCCTCGTTTCGTTAACGACAACATAAGGAAACCTCACCTTTTATGCATGCTCTGTTGAATCGATGTTATCTTCTCATAATACTGGTCCTCACTGCGAGCCATGTTTGCAATTTTCTCCCGCTTATGCGCTGCAAAGCCGAGTAAGATGATGAGGAGGAGGATGGCCGGTGTTTACATTGGTTACCATGAGCACCGCTTCCCAGAAAGCATTGCTGATAAACACAGAGCACGTGGTGGTGGTGGTGGTGGTGGTGCAGGCGCGAGCCTCACATTCACCGCAAGCCCCCCTTCGATATTTTGTTTGTCCTTGCAGAGTTTTATTGTTTACGACAAAAGTGAGTTCCTGCTGTCTCAAAAGAACTGTTAGGTGTCGGGTAAGAAAAACGGTAGTACTTACTACAAAGAAACACTTTGAATATTTCCTTAAACATCTTACTGTAGTACTTTGAACATGTGATAACTAGATATAAGTTTCAACAGTATGACTGGCTCTAAATGTCGTAATTGGTGTGCAAAGGCAATTACACATCCTGTATAAATTATACCTTTAAGGTTAAATATATATAAAACCTCATATTTTAGAAAACTCCCCCAACCTGTCAACATTTGTCTGTAACCTTACTGGGCTAAATACCATCCATTAAAATGATTTATGTATCTTCATTTGATAAGACTCCCCCTCTCTATCAGATACACACTGATGTCTCATTTACCCAGATGGATACTGTATCATCCCCTGATCTTGTCTTGCATTATCAAAGTTCACAACTGACAGTTCTTATAATGTCATGTTTTGACTGCAGCAGCATATCATTGTGTCAAAGCGACAACACTACACATCCTTGCTGGGATTATGAAATTGACAGCCTCATCCAAATGCACACCCTAATCAAGCAATTTCCCCAATTCCAGTCCCATCAAATTGCTCTTTAGCTGTTGAACTGGGGAGTTTTGTTGTCCTTTTCTAATGCTAATCTGCCCTATTCAGCATCTCTCTATGAGGCTATTTGTTGTCAAATAAATCCCCTTGTTTGCCTCCTGCATGTATAATTGATATTGATGCCAGGCTTTTTGTTTGTGCTTTAGAGAGCTGAAAGGCGGTACTTCGGAGGTTATGAAGAAAATTGGACTTGCAACATTGCTGTTCCAGCTGAGCACAGCTGAGGTTGAAGCCGGGGATCGACCTTTGTTGGATCTCATACTGTGCAATAATCATTTTCAGACTAATGTGGTTCACAATATAGACAACATTCACAACCACGGTTTTCTCATGATTTCTCATTTACTTTGTGTATCAGGCAGAACACTCATCAAGATGCTGGCACCATGTGAGACTGCATCCAAAGTAAAGACATGTTGAAGCCGAATGCATATTGGTGAGTCCGATTTCAGTTAATTTGCATAGGAAAATGCACAACATAACTTCCAAGCTCATAATTATTTGTCTTTTTGCTCTTCTACACCGATTTTTTTCTTCAACTGCATTCATACCTCTACATTAATCTATCTTCAGTAGTTGCTTCCTGAAATGTTTACAGCCTATATGGTGCTTAACAAAAACAGTTTTGATGATAAAGTTGGTATAGCCTTTACAAGTGTTTATCAGTAAAAACTAAAAAAGTGCCATGCGTACGTTTTTTAAATTGGATTTAATAAATGGCTACTCTGAAAATATGAGTTTTCCTATTTGTAGTTTTATACAGTGTGTCTGCCTGCTGCTCCTCTGGAGACATACACAATGCGTACGGCCATTGATATGCCCTAACAGAGGTCACAATTTGCATAAGAATTAACAGCTAGTAAATTAAATTGATATTCAGTGCACATCTCCGTTGAATCCTTCAGACCTTTGTTCCCCTCCCTGGCAGAGCCCATTTTCAGCCCCTAGCTAGTCAGAAACATCTGTGCAGTTAATAATTTGATAAACAGCTTACACAAATGCTAAATTATCTTCTCCGCCCCCTCCCCTTTTTCTTCCTCCCCTTGTGTGAGACTTGGAACAGTTGGCTCACCTCTCTGTGGCGTTGGGTTTATCTGTCTTTTGTGGCTGCTCTTCCACAGCTCTGGTTTTCATGGCTCTCCCTTCACTCCTTTCACTATCACCTAGATACTGAAGCAGTGTTTGGGGTTAATGCAAATCCTCAGTTCTCATCTATGAAGGAAAAAAGGCGTAGGAGTTGCCTATTGTTGCAAGTTTAAAATGAACTTCGTCTGAACATTTGTTATTCGTTCATTCAAAGTCCTGTCTGGATAGCATTTACACAAAATGTTGAGGAAGAACTGTGACATTTATCAACACATTTGAACATTTACAATGCCATTGTGTTTCCACTGAGCTAAAGCCCATTGTTTACACAGGACTCGGGAGTCACTCGGGTGACTCCCTGTGCAATTGCAAATTAAGGTCTGACATATTTTTTTCCGGAGAGCATTCTACATCAGAGTGCAAAAGCTTTCAAGTTCCATGTGTTAATTCAATGGTCACTTGTTTCTATAATTGGCTGATACCACTAGCGGAAGAGATTTGACTGGGCTTTTATAATCGTTTCAAAAAGTAGCCACTTGTAGTTGGCACAGGTATAGCTTGATTTTCACAAAGATATATTAAAAAAGATTAAATGTGTCCAGACGATGATATTAGTAGTATCTGTTCAGACCCAGGGCTGATTTTAAAAAGGGTACACAATATAACAGTACATTTGTGTGTGTGTGTGTGCACACGTGTGCCTGCCTGCCTGCCTGTGGTTTATTTGTGTGTGTATGTTTTGCGAGTGCAATTTTGTCTATGAGAAGACAGCAATTAGTTAAGTGCTATCAAGTGGATGAAAAGCTGCAACAAATCCCTTTTATAATTTCACGGAAAAGAAAGCTGACAACATAGAATCGGGTGGAGGGGAACTAGTTTCCAATGCTTGCTTTTCCAGTTACAACTTATGAAGAAATTGAACACCAAGAGTCTGTTCTAGGCAGTGTCAAAACACATTAGGTACTTTTTCTGTTATTCGTTCTTTAAAATGTATTTTTCTTTCCTTCTATCACTCAGGATGAGTGAGGAGATCAGATTGTGCATGATGCTGCACTTGTTGGTTATTTGAATAAACATCAGGCCAGTCTCGAGTGCTGTCTGAGAGCACAATGCTTCAGTGTGGTTGTGAACAAAGACTCCCAGGTCTAATGACAGTGGCCTGTTGTTAGTGCATGCACGCCTTGTGATGTCGTAGTTTGCAGAGTGGATTCATTCTCTTATTTTCCTTCATTTTTGTTATTCTTTCCCTTGGACATCCGCCACTAGTGAGTCTCACCCTTCCAATCATTTTCACATGTTCACGGCCCACAAGCAGACCCTGTCAATGGGCGAGAGAGACGGGAAGCAGAGGATCATCTCTGAGTTTGACAAGAGTCTGTGAGCCTGGAGTTTGACAGACAGCTGAGAGCTACACAGGTGTGCAGCAGCAAGTAAGGGCAGCGTGTGTGGTTGTCAGATGATGAGATTCCTGTGGGCTGGGCAGTTCGGGTCAGGCGTCTGACAGCAGGGGCTTCATGTTTGCTCCTGTAGTTGGCCCGGCTGGTTACACTGATCCCCGGCCTTCCTTAAGACAGTGCCCTTCCACCTCCATGTTTACCAGCTCAGGCTGGAAGGCAGCATGTATTTTGCACTGAAGTGAACCTATTATTGGTGCTGAACTAGTGGACAGCTTGTGTGTGTTTTTGATCTTGTGTCACTGTGCATCTGTATGTTCCATTATATTCAGGTTTTTGAAAACATTACACTTGGGTTCACTTATATAATAATAATATTTTTACATTTTTTACTGATATTTGACAACTTATTTTGGCCGATTGCAGATACCTGTATACACCCATATTTCCACCTTATTGCAGAGAATACATTTGAACTATTACCATGCTTCCTGTAAGCATGACGGCTCATTGGCAGATGCAGATATAAAATAGAATGCTTTTCAAACTGTCCACATTCAGTGGGCACAATTCTTCAACTTAAGTTACATGTAATACATACATTTTTTCATTATTTTTCCGATAAATGTTTAAACAAATCAGAAAATGCTACCCCACTCCAACAGGCTGGCAACACCGCCGACATACAGTATATTGTTATAGAAATATTGTTTTTGCACCTACTACTTCAACATTTTGAATTGCCTATGCATTATCTTTTTTTTTATCGGCCTATAATGAAAGGAAACGTTTATTTTTGTCCGATAACAACATATGATTTTAAAGCCTTTATCTGCCAATACAGATGATGTGCTAGTATCTTCATGCATCGCATTCTAGGATTATAGAATGTTGGTCTGTTTTACAGCATCATTTCAAAAACATTATTCATATACAGTAAAAATGCAATAATGGAAGATTTAATCAGCAATTTCTATACGGCATTCTACATATAAAACCAGGGTCCGTCCTGTCTGAGTAGGAATAGACAGCTCATTATATGAGCATCTCTTCCTACATTCAAAGAGCCAATCCAGTCCTGGGTGGCCTATTTGACCCCGTTCTCCAGGAGATGCCAAAGGGCACATGTCACTTCCACATTAATGCATTAGGGAATGCTTTATTTGTTTGCGTGAGGGGCATCCTCTCCTGTCTCTTCCATGGGTCACACTCGATTGACACTGCTACTGGATATCATGGCGCTTATGTGGGTTTAGTCTTCCAGGTCAAATTATCCTTTCGATTTGAACTGAAATTGGGAATGGAAGAGGCAGGGATCATCTCAGGCCCACTGCCTCTCCCCTGTATTAAGCCATCAGCGTGTTGTAAGGCGAGCTCATAATGAACCCTGTCACCGGCACCACTGCATCAATATCCCCACAACACAGCATGCATATTGATTGCAGATTGTGAGTGCGAGAACATGCGTGTGTATGTATGCGATGTGTGTGTGCATGCTCACCTTTTTTTTCGAGCAAGGAGCAAGGGAATCATGTTACTCTCCGACTGATTAGAAAGCTCATGCATAGGAAATCACGACAGAGACACTGCACCCCATCTGCCCGCAGTGCAGGTGAAAACAATTTACACATCGGCAGGCTAATGGATACATTCATAGGGAGCACAGACAGAGGGAACGAGGGATCAAGGGGGAGAGGGAGAGAAAAACGGAGAGAGAAAGAGAGAGGGCTTGTAATGGGCCCAGGCCGATGCAGGCCAGTGGCCCTG